TAAATCGGTTCTCTCACTAAGATTCAACAAGACTAACCACTATGATGATAGCTTGTTCCACCAATACCACTAGACATCAAGCCCTTATCACCAGCAGTGCCAGGCCTACCAGAACCAGGTCGCATCATGTCATTTGCTTTCATTATTCCTAGACATAATTTAATAACATGAAATAAGTATAAAAAAAATCTTTTGGCAGGTGAAATAAATTTTAGCCTGCCATTTTTATTCATTGAACTGCCAAAATGGCAATGTCTCATATGAGTCGTATTGTAAAAATCAATGTTTTCATGATTATGCATTTTTATTTTATTTTTAAACTTGGATTTACATTTCAAATATAAATGTATTTGGTCAACTAAATGATCTAGTATATATGAGTTGTGGTAAGCAAATGAAATGAAATATATCTATAGAATTTCAGTTGCCATTTTATTTTTGAATTTCAAATTTGTTTTTGCCTGCCATTTCTAAAATATGGCCCGCTTTTGGCCATTGGCAACCCGCTACTTCAAGCCCTGTAGTTATATCAAGTGAGATTCCCAAAATGAGCGATGTTTTGCTAATTTCAGAAATGGGGCGATGCTCTTGAAAATCAAATGGGCATCATGATCACTCGATTGGGCGTGGCCATGAAATTAAACAAGCGGGGGTTTAGTGTAATAGACATGCTTGTCAAAATACGTCACATTTATTCTACAAACAATATAATAATATATTTGATGATATTTGCTGTGTTGGTGTAATGTACTCAGGTGAATAAGATGCTTGTGATGTTACTCTGAGGGCTAGTATTCCAAAGGTCGTAGGTAGAGGGCTAGTATTCCAAAGGTCGTAGATAATATATTTGATAATTATATATTACATTCTGCTCATGAACGCAGGCAACAAAGTGATTTGTAATGTAAAAAATGTCTAAAATGTCTGAGCTTTAAAATTATTTCTCCCGAGTTCCTCTGTCATATTTAACTTCATTTGCAAGTTAAATATGATGTTTTCACGAGTAACTGAATAAGCTTAGAAAATAGATATCCTTGAATCTTTCTCATTTGATCATGTAAAAGTTCTTATTGAATCATTATATGTAATTATGCCCCCACTGATCATTTTAATATTTAATTTCGGGAATTACGCAAAAGACTGTACTAATTATATCCTGCTGGGCTGCTGTCTGACGTTATCCATGCTTATGACAATAAGTACTTTTAGTATTGTTGTGCTAGCCTGCTAGAATTTTCTGCTGGTATATCAAGTTTCAGGGAGATTAAAATAGTGACAAAATTACATTCTGAAGTACATATTTCCACCTAGGATGCTGAGCAATTATTGCCAAAAATAACACATATGTAGAACAACTGTCAAGTGATAGCCACAATTATTTGGACGGTGTCGAACAGCATTCACTGAACATCACTCATATTAAATCCCACCAGGGGGAACGGTGTTTCCCTATGTTTGATTTTGGAAGGAGGGATGCCGTTTTCCTGGTAAAAATGAAAAGGTGGGGGACAGCATTCCCCCGTGAAAACATCACTGCCCAAAATCCTGATAATTAGGCGTAAAAAAATACCTGTGGTTCCGGTTTCATATCGTAAAAAAATTAGGGTCGGTAGGTCGGAAATAAATTTTTTTTTGAATATTTTTTTCATGGTTTTGGCAGTTTTTTGCTGGGCAATTTGCAGTAGAGTCCCAACATCAATATTAACTAGAGATGCATATTTCCTATGGACAAATTTAGGCAATTTGGTTCAATAATTAGTGTGACAACAGCCCCATTTTGGCACACTGTATGAGCAGCCTGCAACCACCTGAAGAAAATAGGGTTGCACGGTCAATCGCGTCAAAAAAATAATAGGGTTGGCAGAAAAAAATAGGGTCGGTCGGGAACCGGAACCGCAGGTTTGTTTTTTTACGCCTTATTCATCCAATATATAAAGCCATCTAGTAGTAATGCCAAAATATTCAAACCTGACTGCGCTCTCTTTTGTTGCTGTCTCTTCTCAATCAACGCTTTCTACACAACACCAAAATTTTTAAGAATGTAAGAGTTTGAATTACATGGAACATGAGCCGTCATGTTTAAGTGTGCTAACCTGTTGCGCCAGCTTCGTTTGACGATTGCTCGGACTAGTTGCTCGGATATCATCTTCATAAACACTGCAAAAGTTGAGAAACAACAAACATAAACAAAGATACAACCGAAGGATGCACATGTAAGCTAGTTTAATTCTCAGCTTTGCAAATACCACTACCATATATAGCTGTTGTTAGAAGTTCTACTGACGGCACTAAAGAGTTCTCATCTGAAACTAAAGCCAGGTGAATTTGTGATATAAAAACAACCCACACGAGGAATTGCAGGACCACAGGTTCGGTCTCCCGCGGTCCTGCGATTGGTTAGGTCTAATAAATGTATAAAATTTATACTCAAAATTTCAATCAACAAAACCCATAAACTTCTAATGTTTCATGTTCAAAGAGGAAAAGGCAGAAGTATACAGAGATATATCAGTCAAAAATGCCAATAATGCTGCCAAAAACTAAATCATCAACAGCAATTTTTCCCAAAGAGGATTTGTCAAAATTACGAGGACTGGTGTATTGATGCAATGCCCAGCACTACCCAAAATTGTCGAAGAAAAAAAGATGGACACATTAAAGTGCATGAAATTACGGGAACCACTGAGTATTTTGATAAAATACAAAACAATAGATACACCGAAAATTGAAATTTTCGGAGTATCTATTGTTTTTGTATTTTAAAGTGCATGGTTTCTTACCATTAAGATTGGAGATTTAAAGGGGCATATCTATTGGAGATTTAAGGGGCATATAGGCACCTTGTATAAATGCCCAACACATTATACCCCTCGACAAATAAAAACATCTGCCACTAGACAGATGTTTATTCCACACACAACAAAATGCTACAAAGTGAAATGGAAATTGGAAAATAATTTTGAAATTTCTTTTGCTTGATATTGGTCAGCAATGACTGTGTCAATCTCCAGAAAAAATTCAAACCTCCCCCACAAATGAAATTGGTTAGCCCTGTACTCCCTTCGGATGTCCTAACACACCGAAGCCTTGGTCAAACGAGGATGAGAGTAGACAAGAGTTGCAACTCTTGCACGCATTTGATGCAAACTCTCATCGACTTTTAACTGGTTCAAATTTTGATGTGAGTTTTCCCCACACACAAGATAATATCAAGTCAACTCTCGTCAACTTGCATGCAACTCTTGTTCTCGTCTGACCAGCGCATTACTATTATCAGAAACGGATTTGGAAATTTTACACTTTACCGTACCGGAGTAATCACCAAATACATAGCCATCAAAACATGCCAATAAAAGAACGGAAAAACCATCAGCACACATGCCATCAAATACTTGCAGTATGGTAAAGTGTAAAGCACCCACAGATTTTTCTCCCCTCCTCCGAAAGGCAGAAATTTCCTCCATGGGGGGCAGTGTGAATAGTTTTCAGGAACAACCCATTGCCACAAGGCATAAACATTTCAAGTAGCAATAACCGTGGGCTACAGGCACAAATTTGGCATCATAAAGTGAGCAATGGGAAATATAGGATTGGTAAATAAGGAAACAAGCCAACCAGATCCACAAAAAACAACATTAGGGTCGGCAGACCGCAAGTAGGATCGGTTGCAAAATTGGGATCACAGAATTTTTTTCTCAGGCTAACAGAGAAACTACATACTAATGAATCAAGTCTATCTGAACAGGTGCTATGTATAGAGGCGTCTGGCAAAATACAACTTGTCACTTATGTTTATGTCTATACAGTTGCAATGTTAAATGTTTTGAATTTATTATCTGATGTAAACCAAGAATTCACTAATACTCATGACACTAAACTTATTCGCAATATTGCAACAATCACAATAGTAATCGGAGAGCCATTCAAAACCGTATGGGTCCGTGTGAAATTTAAAGCAATTATTTCTGTGTAAATAGTCAAAATAGATCTTGGCAGCAGAGTCGTAAATTTGAGCTTGTATTTTTTAAGCCCATAAAATTTTAAATGCCTGGCCAAGTTGAAGATTAATACATTCAGTTTTTTTAAGCAAATCATTTTATATATTTCTCAGTTGTGTTTTAATTAAATAGCGACAATCTATCGGTTGATTCAATTCAAAAGGAAAATAGAGTTCCTGTTCCTTGTGAAGTGGTTTCTATCGAGTTGTCACAGCAACCGTCACAAAAACCGAAGCTCATATAAGGAAAAGCACGAGTATTTTCACTCCGATCTGAAAGCAAGATCGTTTACCAAGCCACTGTTTCCAGGGCAAATAAAAGCAGCTTGTAAAATGTTTACAAAGATCGAGGAAAATGATAAACACGAAAGGCCTGCCAAACAACAAAAAATGACGCCATCCCAAGCAGTATTAAATTTATGTCAACAAAGTTTCGACTTTTAAAACGCAAGCGATCGGGTCCGAAGACTAGCGTTCAGGCGATTTATAATAATAATCATAACAATAAAAGCTCGGCAAAATAAATAAGGAGTGGGTTGTTTCAACATACCTTCCTGGAGGCCCCGCAGTTTGCCAAGTGTTGGCAGGTGAGCTACAACCAAGACGAAAAATACGCGAAACATTACGTTAGTTTAGACGCTTCTGATCGCGAGAAAAAAAGATAACGGACTGCTAAGGGCTTTGTTAAAAGCTTACCTAGTTCCTTGAGAATAGAGTGACATTATCTCGCCTCAAAGTGGCCCGCTATGTTGATAATTCTGACCGCAAACAGGCACTTGCTGCATGAAAAGATATCTTGCAATTTTTTATGGAAAACGGGAAAACGGAAACAAATGTACGCTGTAGTCGAAAACGCGCCTGTGATTGGTCTAAACCGTCGCCAGTTACTCGGAAACGCTCGCTGAATCGGCAAATCTTCGAAGAGTCCCATATAAATCCTTTATGTCCCCAATTGCCCTCCATAGTCCCTATCATTGGCGATACTTTTTACGGCTGCCAGTCGGCGCATTGTCGGCGCCAAACCTACGAATCGGGTGCCATAATGGCGGGAAATTTTAGCCCGAATTTTCGCGAAATAACTGCACGTGTTTATTTATGTTTGTAACTTTTGGAATATTTAAAAGATCGTTCAGAGACGTATTGAGAAAGATGCCTTTGAATGTGGAAATCAAAGCAACAATTCGAGATTACGATCAGTTCCGATCCCTTGCCGAAAACGTTAGCGGGCAGAAAGGTTTATATTTTAAATCATTGCAGTTTAATGATAATTTTGTGTTTATATATATATATATATATGTTAGTTGTGTAATTGTACACTCTGTAATATGTTAAGATGAAAATGTTCTAGAGTGTGTATTATATAATTTCCATACCCAGCGGCAGCGCAAGCAGAAAGATGTTGTCTGCCGCGGCTGGGTCTCGGACCCGCGACCTTCGAATTACTAGATCGACGCTCTACCTACTGAGCTACACGTGCACGGTCAGACGGATTTAAGACTGGAAATTATGAAATATATACTGAATGTCATAAACATACTCGTTTATATTAATATTTGAATTATTATATATACTGAATGTCATTAACATACTCGTTTATATTTTGTAAAAATTATAATTTAATAAAATGCCTGGATTACAAATCTTCAAATCTATTAAATATATATATATATATATATATATATATATACATATATATATATATAACCATATATATATATATATAATAACCAATAACCTTAATAACCAGTAATATATATATGTAATGTATATATAATAACCCATATATGTCAATATATATAATATATATATATATAACAACAACAATATGTATAATAATATATATCTCATCTCTCATATATATATATATATAACAACTATCATAATAATAATAATAACTATATATATATATACTTCTTTCTATATATTAATAGATTTGAAGAGATTTTGTAAATGGGCATTTCTAATATTATAATATAATTTTACAAATTATGATAATTCTCAGGAATATATACCCATACAATATATGTATATATGTATATATATATATATATATACAATAATATATATATATATATAATATATATATATATATATATATATATATATATATATATATATATATATATATATATTTAATAGATTTGAAGATTTATAATCCAGGCATTTTATTAAATTATAATTTTTACAAAATTATACAGTGTTCTCCGGATTGTAATAATAGATTTGAAGATTTGTAATCCAGGCATTTTATTAAATTATAATTTTTACAAAATTATACAGTGTTCTCCGGATTGTAATAATTTGTTTTTATTTATATATATATATATATATAGTTTTTCATTTTACCTCAAAAAACCACAACAGTCTGTTTCATCTGTATAGGAATCATCAGACCACCTATGATTCCTATACGGATGAAACAGACTGTTGTGGTTTTTTGAGGTAAAACGAAAAACTATATTATGCTCTATCTATATGGTATTGAGCACTGCCTTTACGGCATGAAACTCGGAGTAGCAACAAAAATATTTTAAGTATTAATATATATATATATATATATATTTTACTTGTCAAGGGGAGAATTAATGGTCATACTTCATTACTAGAACTCTATCTAACAACTAATACCAGACAATATATTACTTTTCAAAAGAAAATGCACTTTTCAAAATAGTCGAGTTGGGGGGGGGGGGGGATGTTCAAATTTAGTTTTGCCAGCATACTACATGTTATAATCACCGATCCAATAGTTGTAATGTGATTATTGATTTTTTGTATATAACAATTAGGACAAATAATTGTTCAAGAGGATGTCTTCTTTCATGCACCTAATGGCAGACTGAAGGTTTGTCAATTTTATTTACACTCTGTCTTTTGTTCTCATTGGTCATCTTCTTCCAGTAAGAGCCATCTCTTATTGGCCCAGTGTTGCTAGTGACCGGGGGTGGAAAAAGTATCGGACCACAGGATCACTGGTCCCAGAAATTTTTTGAATTCCCAGAAAATATTTCCCCAAGAAAGAAAAATATAATTGTAAAAATTTAGATAAAAGGATAAATTCAGAGGGAAAACTCTAACCAATAGAGAGAATGCTACCTGTACTGCAGGTATGACCTCAGAAATGCAAGTCCATCTTAATAGTACGATAGTCGGATGGTGTATAAATGTATAGATTATAGAATGATGTAACAAATGTTGTATGGCAAATGCATTTTTAGCCAATCTGAGATGCCATGTTTTCACTAAATTTTCTGGCAGAACATGCCCCAAGATCCCCCCTTTTTGCATCTGTATAGTTCTGTCATATTCCTAAAAGTATTATTAAGTTTCTCAATGCACTGTCACTGAAATTTTTTCCTGCAAAAATATAGCATGACATTCAGTTTGACAACTTGTTAGTATTGTATGAGTTACAGTGTCCAAGTATTGAGTTACTTGATTTATTGTGGAAAATTTTTTATTGCCCTTTGGCCGGGTCCCAGAAAGTAAAATATTTTCCCACCCCTGGTTTAATACAGCAGGAAACCTAAACTAAACTGACTTCATTTATACTTTATAATTCTATCGTTCTAAACTGTTCTTCCTAGAGGTCCAGTAAGAGATATCTCTTATTGATCCTGAGTGTTACTACAGCAGGAAGCCTAAACTACACTAACTTGACTTTATTAGTTTATTGTTACTATTCCTTTGCCAATGCTTAAAAGCGAGATGGATGCCAGAATAGTTGAAAGAAAGTACCCGGCATTAAACCTGATAACATCCGGCGGCCCCTGGCACACTCTCATTTATTTGACATGCTTTATAGCTACGTATCTTGCAAGAACGACCCTCGCAGTTAATTTCTTATTCGAGATCAGATCAGAGTGGACCGAAGCTTTCTACGTTTTACATTACGGAAATTCCCAAACCAGAAGATTTGAAAAAAACGCTTGAAACATCGCTTGGGATCAAAGGTAAGAAGAACGCACGTGAACATTGCCACTTTTGGTTTGGAAAAAACAAGCCGCTTATTTTTGCATATTTTGCGGTGGCGGACATGCAGGTATACGCCCCCAATGAAGAAACGGAGCTGTCTCTCCATTTTGTATATGGCTAGACTCCTGATCCTGGCACGAAGGCTTGGGTCATCGGACCTTCTACTCACTGTTCCTTAATTTTTGCTTTTCTACATCAGTACGCGCTATATTAAGCTTCTACTATGCAGCGTGGGCGTCAGGCGCCTATATAGCGTAACTTTCTTCAACATAAAATTTTTTCTTTTAAATTTTAATAGTAGATTTACAATTACATGTCACATATTTTTAATCTTTAAAAGAGCTTTACACCGTCACACACTTTGATAAAATAAATCACCGATGCCGATGGTGCAAGCTAGCCTAACCAATTCGTTGAAGATTCTGCCGTATACTCATGACAGAGGCGAGAATAGGTGTTATTTTTATGGCTATATGCCTGTATAACGTAAACACTTTTAGGTATACGTATGAGTTAAAAAACTATATTCTGACGATTATGAATTCACAAGATGGCCGCTAAACTTAAGCATACAGCTGGTCAGGTCCCGGCTCGCCTAATAGCAAGGTTTTTATATATATTATACTGTATAATTTATAGTTCATAATATGGTCCAGGATCGCGTATTAACACAAGGAATAAGCACAGAGCAATAAAAACACAAGAACCGGCGATTTACAGTACGAAAATTGACGCGAGTTCGTTCCGAATTGACAATATACCAAGAAATATAGTTTGTTTAAATTTTTTTAGTGTGAAATGCTTAGTTTTGACGTGCATGCAGTGTTTATATTTGAACGCCATTCTGGGATAAAGTTCAAAGTGACCCTGGTCGAACTCGATTAGTTTTCGTCGTGTAAAGCTGGCTTATTATATAGTTTATAGTGTAAACCCTTACTTTTCCTCGAAATCCAGTAGTTCACTCAGGAGATTGTAGGCCTTCATTGCGATGCGAGCTTCCTGCTGAAATTGTATTCCAAAATTAACACGCGCAGTTGCTTTAAAATGATTGAAATATTAAATTGAAGTAAAGTGGTCTGTACAAACAGGTGTTGTTTATGCATATACATTGAAAAGAATGGAATAGGCAATGTCAATGAGATGACACTTCATCAAGTTCTGCAGTTGTAGGAAGGGACAAGCGACGACCCTTCTGGACCTCCAGGAAGAACAGTTTAGAACTGATAAAGTATAAATAAAGTTAGTTTAGTTTAGGTTTCCTCCTGTAGTAACGCTGGATCAACCAGGGATGTCCCTTACTGGAATCTAGGAAGAACATTTCAGAAATGATAAAACTATCCAGTATAAATATAGTTAGTTAATTTGTTTAGAACTGATAAAACTAACAGGTATAAATAAAGTTAGTTTAGTTTAGGTTTTCTCCTGTATAACCCCGGATCAATAAGAGATGATCCTTATACTTGACCTTTAGGAAGAACAGTTTAGAACCGTGATAAAACTATCAGGTATAAATAAATTTAGTTCAGTTTAGGTTTCCTCCTGTAGTAACACTAGATCGTCAACGGACGTCGTATACTCGGTGATCCGCCGCGTATAGAAAAAACAGAAATTTTCATAAAAGGATTCTCATCAATTTTGAGCTGGTTGTCAAATTTCGAAGAGAGTTAATGAGTGCTTTTGTCCGTTTCAACGGTAATATCCATTCAACTCTCATCAGACAGTCGACATGAGAGTTGAGTCTTGAGAACCCTCTCATGCAAACTCTCGCTTCTCAACTCTCATCAACTCTCATCTTCGTTCGACCAGGGTTTTAGCTATCTTTCAATAACAACATGCATTGGACCAATAAGCTTAAAAACTAAATAATAGACTCGGAGGAGGCCATCAAAATCGCTTACTGCATGACGGCGTTCGAAGTGTTTTTCCCTCAAGTTTTAATGAACTATTATAATCAGTGCCGCAGGCCGCAGACGGAAATCAAAGTAATATCAAATTTACACCTTTTTTCTGATATTGGCTTTTCGCCTAACACCCATCAGCAGAAACCACATATTTCGTATAAATAACACGAATTTACATCACAACATAACCGCTTAAAATTAAAAGCTTTTTAATTGTTTTTTTGCTCTTTTCCCGCCTGGCAGGTGTTGTGAAGAAGGAGCGGTTACTATTCCTTGTGGGGCAGACGAGGATACATCTGGATAGAGTGGAGAATTTAGGGTGCTTTATGGAATTAGAGGTACCGAGTATGCGGTAGTCGCAGTGAGCTCCATATATGTATCTGGAGCGAGAACTCGAGTCCAAAACGTGAAGGCAACGATGGAGCTATAGGCAATTCCGGCTTTTAATTTATGCACGCAGGGGGTGATGGGAAGTAAGGTATCATATTGCTGATTATGCTGAAAAATTTCAATAAAAACTGCCGAAACAACCGAAATATTTCAATATTTACAAGTATAAGCTATCACTCCGTGGTTACACGGCCGTCATTTTTATTTTTTCAGCATAATCAGGATTTTATCAGCAATATGATACCTTACTTCCCATCCTCCTCTGCGCGCAGAAATTAAAAGCTGGAATTGCCTAATGCCTATTGGGTGTCAGTTTCAGTCTCTTTCTATTGTTTTTGTCTACAAGGACTGGAGTGTGCCGAAATTTCGTTTTTTGACTTCGATTTAAAGAATAATGGTTTTATGAGCTGATAACTTGATTAGCGATGTGATCCGTTAGATAAAACTGGAATTAGTTGGGGGGATGGTATCGGACGTCAATTCAGCCATCTTGGCTGCACGGTTCTTGTATAGGCCGAATGACTGAAATTCTTGCTCCATATATATGGAGGTGTGAGGAGGGGGAATAGTAGTCGAGCATTTACATTAATGACTATATATATCATTGTCTCTCGCAGGTTGTATTGCGTGAAAACCAAACAACGGAGGAGGGGTCGGAAATAGCGAACGATTTAATGAAAAAGCTGAATGTTGAGGAAAAGGATTTGATAACGTGTGCTTATATGGACCTGCTTAGCAAAACTAATAATAAATAATAAGATAATAAAATAACAGAGTGCACTGTTATCTGTAAACAGCCCTAAGATTACAGTAATTAATAATACTTTTTGTTTGTGGAAACTGCACCACGTTAATTTATTACTGCAAAGCTTTCGATCTGTAAGCCCGGATCTTCATCAGTGCTAATAATATGTGACTTGTTCAATGGACCATTTGCACTATAGACTAAATTTTGATCTAGACAAAATTTTCATCACAACTTGAAAGAGCATCACAAAATTAGTAATATTCCAAAGTTTCGTTGCGAAATGTTGTAAAATGCGGATAATATATAGCCTTGCGAAGTTTGCCGTTTTTCAGTCATTTTGTATTACAGACGGGAAATTGACAGCCCAATCGGGTGTTGGGGCATCAATTCCCCGTTTGTAATACAAAAGGACTGAAAATTGCAAATTTCGCAAGGCTATATTATCCGCATTTTACAACATTTCGCAACGAAACTTTGGAATATTACTAATTTTGTGATGCTCTTTCAAGCTGTGATGAAATTTTTGTCTAGATCAAAACTTAGTCTATAATGCAAATGGTCCATTCAGCCCAAATATTACCGATATATACTGGTAGAGTGAGCGCATGGGTGGAAGATGGAAGAGTCGCTTCTTCACCTCAGTCGTTGATGTGAGAACAGCCCTTCCAGTTTGACTCTATATCCCAAACACCACAGGTCCCCATATAGGCTGTCGTTAATCCTGTAGTAACAATGGTTTTATAGAGGGAATGTTTTGAACGGATAGAACTATCCATGCAGTATAAACTATAAATAGAGTTAGTACAGTAACTGGTTGCCGCACTTTCGAACCTGTTTTTGTTTACCGAACCGAAACGTCTCACACCGGTTGCAAATACGATAACTTCAACAACAAAAGTCATATATCTTCTGAAGAGCGGATATAAACAGGTTTGTTGTAAGTTTTATTATATCTATAATATATTTGTTATATTGTAAACTTAAAATTGTCCTGCTTTTCGTTCCTTAAGGATTCCTGCGTGAAACGGTTATGAATATAACGGTTATACATGTTCAATTTGTAACTGTTCAACGTAGGTCCTACAGTATAAACAACATAAGATTTATATAAACTGATCATTTGGCACGTGTGGTTCAAATTGGCGAACTGAATATATAGAATGAGCAGTAAATCATATAGAATCAAAGAAGTTATTTCAGATAAAATAGTTTCATCATTTTCTGTGAAGCACTTTGTCAAATGTGTTTAAATTTTTTTTTTTTTCAGAATCAAAGATGCATTCAGAATTTGGAATAGTTTGCCTCCTTATATTTACTGGTTGGTATACATATATATTAAGATTAAACTACATGTATATCGAGATAATATGATTATTATATGGCTAAAATATCTAATTCATATCATACATTTTGTAAGCTTCTGGGAGTTTTGGACAACTACCCAGCGCTGTCTCGGGGGACGATAAACTTCGGGAAGACATCAAGAAATCATTTCACAAAGGATACAAAGGTATAATGTGGATACAGGAAAGGAAATTTAAGGCCCATTCAAACAAGGCCAACATATTGTTGATTAAAGATTGCTCTTTATATATATACTGTGCATAATTTTAGCCGCACTCGCAGACAGTTTAAAAGAAGGCAATGGTAACCAGAAGAGATATGACATTGGTATGCTCGTCAGATTGTTGATTTATGATTTATTTTAAACAAGTAGAAAGAACGTTTTATATAGAAATTTTACAAAGAACATGTCTTTATATATTCTATATATAGATAAGTGTTCCTATATTATTTAGCAACATTAAACCAGGCTGCAAGAAATCGAAACACATTGTTAAGTAGTTTTGGTGGCGACCCTTATGGTTAGTATATATAGATTTTAACATTCCCTGAATATTTTGACTAAAAAACCAATGACTCAAAATATTGAGAAAAGTTACTCAAATTTATGAAAGTAAATTTTCACTCAGAAAATTGAGTAAATTTAAAACTTTACCAAAAAAAGAGTACATTTGCCTGAAATGAAGGCCTTCCTCGGAACGTTTGTATAGCGTAACGAAGGGCCTTAATTAGCTCGAAACGGCGAAGTTCTGCCAAGTTTACAGGTAGTTGTGTCCCTATCAGTCTATCAATCCACAGTCTTCGGCTTGCATGGTCACTACCTACAATGGCAAAGACCGTTTGATATTTTATGCAGGGACGCCGGAACTGGGGCAGGAGGGGCAGCCGCCCCCGTTGTCCTTTACCAGGAGTGGCAAGGGGGGCAAAAGGTGCCCTTTGCCTTGGCGAAATAGCGAATTGTCAGAAGTTGTCAGTGCAATTAGCGAATTGTAGTGAATTGTCAGTGCAATTCTTTTACGAATTTGCTTCAGAAAACGCAAGAAATGCAGTCATTGAGCTTCAAGAATAGCACAATCGCCTGGCGAAGAACTCCCTCACACCCCTATCGTCCAATAAATAGAAATTAGAAAACATGATTAGGCAAAGTTGAACTCCCGATGTTTTGCAAACATCTCTTAGTATATATCAATTCAAAAGTGCCCTTTCACAAAAATCTGCCCCCCTTGCCTTCACATCGTTCCGGCGTTCCTGATTTTATGACTTAAAAAATGAAGCCATCTAGACAACTGGTTTCAATGCAGTAATGCAGTAAAATCCGCAAGTTTACCATTAATTTTCACCAAACACTTCCCTTCAATCTTAAATTTACTATAAATTATAGGAATGGGAAGTACAATGCTTTCTAAACAACGACTTACATTTGGAAGAAAGAAAAGGTCTATTGGTAAGGGAAGAATTAGTGACTTAATCGCCCATTTCCACTGCTTTTAATTCAATATAAATCAATTAAATTTAGTAACTAATGCTGGTCATTCCATGATTTTGTCCGTCCGCGTTTGTATGTTTGTTTGTGTATGTGTCTCGATATCTTAAAAATATCAACGCGTATATATATGTTAATGTTAATATGAAAAGTAATGGACGTTGTCCAAGGACAGAATGACTAAATTTTTGTTGAATTTGGATGAGAAATTACAGTACACTGGACATCTTTTTTTAAATCCTTACTATGGAAATAGTTATACTATATAGGTGCAGTTATATTATTTTCTCTAATATGTTCATTATTTTTTCGGGGCAAACGATATATAGCATCATCACAAAAGGCATTGAAGGAAGCTTATACATCAGGATATAAAGGTACAGCCCACGCGTATATCAACCACTTTGCCATCGCTTTACCGTCTACGGCATTTTTTTACTGTTTTTTAATTATTTTCAGCTGGTAAAGAAATGATTGCCAAAATACAGAAAGAAAATTCAAATGCCGAGAAAAGATTTACGATTGGTAAATATGTCATCATAATATCAGCTAAGCAAATGTAATGCTAATGTAAACAGAATCTGACAAGCTTGTTCACCTATACCGAGCATTTCTTTGGAAAAATGCAAGAAATAAGAAGCCGGTATATGGCTTTAATATCTTTTTAGAGAACCTAAATAAGGCTGCTCGTCACCGCAATGTCTATTTGGATGCTGTTGGAGGTGATCCCTACGGTAAAATGAGTTCTATTTTTTATTTATTTAATAGCTTTAATTTGGCACGTAGATAACTAAACAATATTGTACATAACTTACATAGACAATTAAATTTAACAAGAATATATAAGGAGAATACTGACTATGGAAGGTAGCAAAAATGGCGAAACACAAAGGAGACTATTACTCATTTAAATGGCACAACAATTACTTAATCCAAGTTCTCAACTGTCAAAAGTCAAAACTTTATTTCTTTTTTTCACTGTATTTTGATAAAATTGCACAATCTTAACCAATCATAATTGAGAAAAGTTTAATTCATGTATATATTATATAGAATTGAAGTTTACTGATTTGCTGTCACTCTGCATGAGGTGTTTGAAAAGCTTTAACAGTTTTTAGAACCTAAATTGATAATGATCTTTGATGGCCTACGTGCATGCTAGGGCGTAAAAAAATACCTGTGGTTCCGGTTTCATATCGTGAAAAAATTAGGGTCGGTAGGTCGGAAATACATTTTTGAATATTTTTTTCATGGTTTTGGCGGGTTTTTTGCTGGGCGATTTGCAGTAGAGTCCCAACATCAATATTAACTAGAGGTGCATATTTCCTATGGACGAATTGAGGCAATTTGGTTCAATAATTATTTGTGACAACAGACGCCATTTTGGCACGCTGTATGAGCAGCCCGCAACCACCTGGAAAAAATAGGGTCGCACAGTCAATCGCGTTGAAAAAATAATAGGGTCGGCAGAAAAAAATAGGGTCGGTCGGGAACCGGAACCACAGGTATTTTTTTTTACGCCTAGTATCGTAGCGATCTAACACGATTTAGTTTTTCGATCAACAGTAACCTCTTTTCGTGGATTATTTTAGAGAACGTTGACAAACATAATATTTTTTCTCGTTTAAGGTGGTAGTAGTGTGGTTGCATCTCAACAACACATAAATTGGAGTCATCGTGGAAAGCGAACAGTCAACTAATGGGTCTATAGGGGATATATCACGGTAACCGCGTTATGTTGAACAAGCATACCGTGAGAACGTATGGATAATTTATTTGAATTGTATCACCATAGGAAAAGTACAAGGACTAATTTACATGTATGTTGTTCACAAAGAAATTTATGAAATTAAAAGCTAAACACCCCGGTTCAAATTTTCCTGGTTAACCAAAAAAATAATTAACAGTTATTATATACACAAGGTCTGGATTTGAGGTATTCTGCAATCTGATTGGTTCTCTACTAGCAGGATATTAGCTCATATCCTGCTAGCAGAGAAAAACAAAATGGCGGCCAAACTGAATTTACGATGTTTTGCAAACGAGAAAACGGCAAGTTGTCGCTTTTTATAACCTTTACAGGATTAAAAACACAATAAAAAACTTCCACAAATTGTTTTCAGGTTAGCAAATAAATTTTAAAAATTTAAAATGGTTAAAAATATATATTTTGGAAAAAATAATCGGCCGAAAGAGCGAAGATAAAAACATAAACAAAATAGAAAAATATTGAGAATATTCGAAAAGCAAAGTCTGTGAATTCAGACCTTGTGTATATAATAAAACTTACGCGCCTCATCGGCTATCAGCTCATATTCGACTCGAGTTCGTAGAATAACTGTTAAATATTCTTGGTTAAATTTGTTGGTTATTTTTATTTCACTTCCTATACCATAGTCTGTTAATGTAACCAGGAATCTGATTATATTTGACCAGGGACCGGTTGTACGAAGGCCGGATAGCGCTATCCACCGGATCGTGATTTTTTCAACCTTTGTAAAAATGCTTGAAAAACTGTGAAACTACGGATATAGAGGACACAAGAAGTATAAAAAAACACTTAACTTATAAAACTAAACTTTGATACGAGTTGTACCAATCAACGACTGATTTAACAAAGTTTGAAGAAATCACTATCCGGTGGATAGCGCTATCCGACCTTCGTACAACCAGCCCCAGGACGTTAACCATGCAGACTATATGTTAGGTGGATAAAAAATAACCAGAGGCTCCAGCCTGGTTACTTGGTTAATTTTAGGAAGTCCTGCATGGTTAAATTAAACTAGGGAAAAGGTTAACATAACCAAAAAAAAACAAACAAATTAACAACTGTTAAATCAAACCCAACTGGTAAAAATCTGATTGTCCTTTCTCTTTGCGAGACCCGAGGTCAAATATCAGCTATCTATATCTATCTGATACATGAACAGAATATCGACAACAAAGAACGCAAGAAAAGAGACTTTAAAAAAAGTAAGAAGCTGAACTCCACTCTTGAATATTACTCGAAGTGCATGAAATATTGTGAACGATAAGAAGACTCGAGAATAATCAGAAGAAAGAACGTAAGAAAATAATATTAAAAGCTAAGAGGCTGAACTACACTGAAGTAGTAGTTAAAACACAAGCAGGAGTGCTTTATTTAACAGATATGAAACATGATGTGACAGTCGAGTGTTTTATATCTGATAAAGCACGGACTGCGAGTGTTTTAAATGGCTTGAAAACTTCTGAGTTCATTGGCGAAGTAATTTTAAAAATCAACGTTGTCTGAGCCGAGAAAATCTAAGTTAAAGTTTTATGCAAGCCTTGATAAAATATTTTTCTTCCTGGCAGCATGCTTTCCAGACCAAAAATTTCCTGCCAATTTTTTTTATAAATATGAATTTTTTTCTGTGTTGGTGTGTGTACTCAATCCCACCGTGGCCGGGCATATTTTTCAAGCTCGCCCGGTGTGGATGTACACTCAGAGTAACATCACAAATATAATATGAATTTTGGTTGTAATTCAATAACAGCATCGTATATACTACCTTACTAAGTGATATACTACCTCAATATTAATAAAAATATAGGTTTACTAGAATTAGGAACATGAAGGAATTCTATGAAACAATATTTGAATTTTGTTTTCAGATTGTAAATCTGAATTTATATCAGTATTCATGCACTATTCGATAATACTATAGTGGTAGTACGCCCTTGTTATTCACATGTATATCATAATCGTGAATCATGATAACAGACAGTCGTAGCACTGCCACATGATACAATTTTTTATGTTATGATTGTTGTATTGATGCTCTAATTGTGATGTTTGTTACTTTAATGCTGATTTTTGAAATTTCTCGAGCTTTATTCTTGATATCTTGCTTTTCCTTAAAAATTTCCTGTGAGATTAGAGAAAATTTCCTGGCAGCATGCTGCCATGCATGCTGGCGGACTTTCTCATGCCTTGGTTTTATGTTTATATTTTATCACATATAAAACCACCAACACGATAGTGATTCTCTTTGTCTTTTCCTCATGAATTATTAATGATTTTTTTAATATTGTGAAATACGACTCGAGAATATTCAAAACAAAGAACGTTAGAAAAGAGAAAACTAAGAGTCTTTAAAGAGCCTTTAACTATTCTCTTGAATAATGGACGACTTGCGCTTTAGACTAAATTTTAATCGGTTGCGAAATGTTGTAAAATACGGAAAATATAGCCCTTCAAAGTTGGCAAATTTGTATAGTTTTGTATTACGTGCGTGAATTGGTAACTAAATTAGTTACCAATTTCCGCACGTAATAGAAATGTATATACAAATTTGCCAACTTCGCAGGGCTATATTTTCCGTATTTTACAACATTTCGCAACCAAACTTTCCAGTTTTTCTAATTTTGATAACTTCTTTCAGAAAATATCCTTTGTTATTCCCAGATTAAAAATTTTTCTAAAGCGTAATGGACCGATGGCGCAGGCGACAGTAGACAAACAACAACAATGGTTTGGTTTTCTTATTATTAAATTATACAAACACGAAATTTGCATAAAATATGTATATATAATCTGAAGCTATATATAAGATAAAGAATAGAAAGAAAATTACGACTATGTTTACAAATATAAATACAATACATTACGTTACAATTACACTGTTTTTAACTTACATTTGTCCAAACCAGTGATAAACTTTAAAACCATAAATCCTAACTTGACTTTTCCCGGTTCAAACATTAATTTTTAGCGTTTCTTTAGACTACTTTTATACGTACTTTTAACGTTCAACATGGCTTCCTTTTCGCGCGCTTTTTCTCAGTTCATCGCGGGCGACAATAATTATTCTACGTACGTCATGTTATTTTAGTCAAATCAACGTAACATTCCCCCCGGCAATGGGAGAATTCCCATTTCTTCCTTCATTCGTCTTCGTAGCCTTCAACTGGGTATATAACCGCAATCTTGCTTATAGGACGTGAATAAGTACCTTTCGTTGTCTTCACCATCACATTTCTTACCAATCCATCTTGTCCCGGAAAGACTTGGACAATTCTTCCAGTTTCCCATTTACCTCGTAGTGCGTTTGGATCCGACAATACTACGCAGTCATTCACTTTAACGTTTCGCGATTCGACATTCCACTTTTTTCTTGGAACCAGTTGTGGTAGTACGTCTCTCGACCACTTTTTCCAGAAGGCTTCGACAATTCGTTGACAAAATTCAAATCTATGACGTGGGTTTTCTGTCTGTCGGAATGGACCTTGAGGGATTGTACTGGTTGCTCTACCAAGTAGAATATCGTTAGGGCACAAGTAGGAACCATCGTCGGGGTCCGTTGGAATGCGACCGATGGGTCTTTGGTTAACTAAATTGGTAATCTCTAGCAGACAGGTGTATAGCTCGAACGGTGCAAGAACTGCATCACCTATAGCTTTCTTGAGGGCTGTTTTGATAGTCTTAACCATAGCTTCCGTAGCACCATTCTGATGAGGAGCAAGAGGGGTAGTAAATTGCCATTTTATGCTGCGTTCTGCACAGAATTCTTTCAACTGCTTTACATTCCATCCTTTGATCATCAGGCGTAATTCGTTTTCAGCTCCTACCATTTGAGTGCCATTATCGGACAGGATGAACTTAGGATAACCTCGATAAGAGAAGAATCGTCGTAATACTTGCATAAGTTCCATAGCACTAGCATCAACAGCAAGTTCACAGTGGATAGCTCGGGTATTGAGACAGGTGAATACAACACCGTAATGTTTACATGTCTTGTTTCGACCGACTTTCACTTTCAATGGGCCGAAATAATCCAATGACGAGTAGAGGAATGGTGGCGTGTGTGGCTGTAGACGAAACTTTGGCAAATTCGCCATCAACTGCGTTTCCACTTTCGCTTCGATTTCGCGGCAAACTGTGCAACGATTCTTGATGACCTTTGCAATTCTGTGGGCTTTGATGATCCAATACTTCTTTCTGGTTTTGGCGACCGTGGCTGCGACACCGTTATGACCAACTTGATGAGCATCACGTATGATGACCTTCGATATGTGACTATTATAGGGCAATAACACTGGTCGTTCATTGTCGTAGGAAACAAGTGACGGGTCTACGCGTCCTCCAACTCGAATTAACTTCTTGTTATCGACGTAAGGCGAGAGTGTTTTGAAATCTCCTTTCTTCATTCTTTGAAAGAGGCTTGACTGCGCTTGTTTGAGCCAGTATTCTGCTGCGGTTTGGAGCTCTTCACCAGTTAAGGGTCCCAATTCCGGTTGAGTGTTCTCGTCGTTACGCTTCGCACGTACATTACGGCAGAATCTCTGGATATAGGCAGTAACTCTAACAATTCGCTTCCACTTGGCATAGCGTTGACAATCAAATATTGGATGTGCGACGGTTACAGGGCAGGTGACGGTAACTTTTCTTCTCTCTTTGTTAACTTCTTGCGCGTCCGGCATACCCATTTCCATTGGCCATTGTTCCTCTGGTAGCGTTAAGAAAGACGGACCGTTAAACCATCTACCGTTGAGCTCTTTCGGTGTGATACCTTTAGTCAAGTCATCAGCAACATTTTCAGCGGTGGGACAATGATACCAATCTGCGGGATTAGAATTCGACTGGATTTCGCTGACTCGGCATGACACAAATGGTTTGTACGAACGTGGCATTCCTTGGATCCAGGCTAACGTTACTCGGCTGTCAGAGAAGAACATTGTTCTTAGAATTTTCAGTCTCGTTTCCTCTTGAATTGACTTCGCTAGACGACTCGCTAGTACGGCTGCTTGCAACTCCAGACGAGGGATCGTTAACTCCTTTAAGGGCGAAACTCGAGACTTTGCTGCTACAAACCGAACTCCAAATTTTCCATCTGTCAATTTC